ACTAGGGTGTGCCCAGTATTGGGGGGTGAGCTGAAGTCCCCAACACCACTGATAAACAACATTTCTTTCACTGCTCATGGAGAGTCACCCAGGGATCACGTCAAGCATAGATTTGCAAATATCATAGTTTTTTCTATCGTTCATTTTTCTTAGTATTGTGCGCCTTCCCATGGAGTAGGCTCTCTCTATATATTTGTTAAACTGGCATATTGATTTTTTTTTGCTTTGTTTATTGCTCAACAAAACATAGTTTAGATCGAAAGGGCCTTCTCATCGCCCAAGCTCCATTTGCCACAAACAGGAAATTAATTTGCTTTTCCCATCCAAGCCCAGTCCCTGGCAAAATGGGGCAACTCATTGCTAAGTCACTTTTTTGTTTTTTAGAGAAATTTTGTAGCTGGAAACTTGGCAGCTCACTCTTTCAAAGTGACAGCTTTAAAAAAGTCTACCTTCCACAATTTAGCCTAATTCTAAACACATAAGAAAATGGACTGTTAAAAAAAGTCTCTCCTCATGAGCCAGCTGCCTCCCTGTCCTACCCTTCCCCTAATATGTAAAAAGTGGATTATATTCTCCTTTGGTTATACAAATATTCTTCAGAGAATGATTATACCTGTCACAGATGGAATTTTGAAATAAGTTAAATGTTTAGGTCCATATCCTAGGCATCCATAGTGAATTAAACTCTCCATGCAATCTTTTTAATATTATTACCAAATGATAGGCATATATACTGTCCATGAAGAAGTAGGTCTGTTTATTGTGAAAACTATAGGATAAAGGCTTTTTTTCATATTTCTTTTAGATAGCCATAATTTTAAAGTATTATTAACTAGAATGATTAAAAACATTTTCTTAAACAGCTTATTGCTTTTTAACTGTTGCAATTAAAAATGTCCTGTATGTAGAATGTATAAGAAATGCTCAGCTGCTTAGAGGAAGCTAGGGTAAGAGAAATGAGGCTAACATCTTCTCCAGGGGCCACAACCCGCTGGCCAATTTCCTTCTATCCCAAAGAATCTCAACAGTCTCTAAATGCATCTCCTCTCCATCTCCCCCTCACCGCAAGATTTCCCCTTATAAAACATAATTCTGATTATGTCATTCTGCTCTTTAGAATCCTTCGCAAGCAGGAGGAAAAGTAAGGTCTCCAAGGCCAGTCGCGGTGTGATCCCTGCCTGCTGGTCCCAGGCTCATCTTTCCTGTCCAGTCCTCGCTGCCTGACACATACTGTTCCCTCTGCTATAATGCCATTCCACACGCTCGTCTGCCTGGAATAACCCTCTTCATCTTCCTCACCCGCTTTTCAGCTCCACTGACACTGCTCAACATTCTTTTAACTTGTGTGATTAGATGGAGAGTTCCTTGAGGACAGGGACTGCCTTACTCACCTTTGTGTCCCCAGAGAGAGTGTGGCACAGGGCCCCACACACAGGTGGTCATCACTGAGCGCTTTTCCTCAAACCAAATGACAGAATGAGCTGGTTCTACGCAACCTCGTTTCTTACTCACACCTTGAATGACTTTCTTTTTCTTTCAATAACCTTGAACACAGAGAGGTTTGCTCTGCACAAAGGCAGGTTGATAACTAACCAGTTAACTAGTTGGTTTAGCTCAGACATGGAATAGTGGAAGGGAGGAAATGCTCAGAAAGACACAAGAGCTCTTTAACCAAATAAATACTAGATTCTGTCTGCAATTGATTTAAAAAAAAATAGATCCAGGCTTGCTTCCCAGTTTGAATTCAGTGCATTAGACCTGTCAAGTAACAGTTACATTTACTGCTGCAAATGATGGCCTCTTGTTAATAAGGCAGAGTCAAACCAGCACAAGAATATAAGGTTATGCTCTAGAACATCACAGCTTCTGTTAAAATAACCCTTGAGACAAGAAGGCTAGAGAGAGATTTTTCAGAAACACCAACCGTCTATTAGGAATAGATGCAAATTCAAACAATCTAAGATTTCCATGTACTTTTCTTGCTACAACTGAGTTCAAAGGGGAGCATTAAGGATCCTTAAAAACACAAAGGACATCAAACACCGCTGCTCACTGGCTGACCCGGTCTCCAGGGTTCCACTGTCACCAAATATTTCAATTTTTCTTAAATATTGTGCTACTGTATGGGAAGAACTTTACTTAAGTTTATACATTCTGACTTATAGGCTAAAATAATTCTTACCCAAATAATTATGAAAGCTGTGAATTAAAGGTATTATACCCACTCAATATATATTGTATACATTGACTGCCATAGGATTATTCAGAATGAAAAATCTGCCATAGCTTTCCCCCCCCACACACACTTTTCTCCTCTTGCTTCTCTGCCTTTCTCAGTCAGTTTTACAAGAGCATCTTGCTCAAGGGACACTTTAGAAAAAATCTTCCATTGAAATAAATGAGGAGAGAGAATTTGACTTATGGCTTTGTGTTCCCGGAGCCAGCGCTGCTCAGACAGGGAATCCGGGAGCTACAAGTCCTCTCGGAGGCCACTAGTGGCCACTCAGTGAACTGCAAGGAGATGGCATTTAAACAAGACCGCCTCAGCAGGGACAATTTGGGGGAAAATCAGTATGTATTTAGTGCCAGAAAACCCTTTTAGCATAATAAATAGAAATTTTAAATGCAAAAGATAACTGGGAGATAGGCCTACTTGGTCAGATGGTCTATAGGCTGTTATTTTATTTCTGTCTTACTCATCTGGGACTTACTGCTATGCTCCGTGGGTTCAGAGACCCTACCTTCATAGCATGTAACACTTAGCTCATCCGTGTGAGAAATAGTAAATGGGTGCATGTTTGTGAAGTCTGGAAGCTGCTATTAATAATAGGCTTACAGTGACTCCAGGGCAGATGAGTCATTCAATTCTCAAGTGATCAACTGTGCATTCATTCTACAAGCAGTCGTTGGAGACTCACCCTGCTATGCCAGGGTCTGTAGTAAATACCCCGGAATGTCACTTGGGTTGTGAACATATGACTGCTAAGCAAATAATGATAGGTTTTCCAAAATAATTTAGTTCAAAATAATTCCCACTTCTGCCTCCAAAAATAAATAAACAAAAAACAGTAAAACCAGGTTATTTTAAAATTGACCTCCCTGCTCAAGTTCCCGGGAAGTTTTGATTTCTTCTAGACAACATTTTGTTCAGATTTGAGATATACAGGGGAGCAGGCTGTATATAGTCCCCTTAGAAGCTGGGGTGGGCTCCTGACTGTGCGGGAGTGTGACAGCTGACATTCTAAATCAGTGAGCATTTATTGGTCATGTACTGTGGGTCAGGGACTCTCACAGGCTCTGGCCATATGATCCTCATGACCGCTGTGCAGTTGCTTCCACGTGCTGATGGAAAAACTGGGGCTTGGGGCACTTGTACGACTTGCCCAAGTCCCAGGGAAGCAGAAGCGTGTGGCAGATGTGGAACGGGAGCCACCCTCATGGCCTTTGTGCAGGCTCCTGGCTCTCCTCAGAGCTCTGTCTCCAGCCTCTCCCTTTGTTCTTCTGTTACTTCTTCCAGCACCCTTCCTTGGGGTCCAGAGGCTTCTCTGCCAGAGGGGAATTTTGCTAGAAAACTGAACCAACCAAGGTAACCTGCTTGAGAATTTGACACCAGCACCCTTTCCAACTTATTTGCATTAAAAAATAATAGACTCCTGTACCGGACAGTGAAGGANTCACCCTTTCCAACTTATCTGCATTAAAAAATAATAGACTCCTGTACCGGACAGTGAAGGAGCTGAACATCAGTAGAGGGCCTGAGTTTCCTAACTTATAACATGGGGGTTTAGATGAGCTGGTCAGCATGTCCTTTTAAACTCAGTTCTGTGGCTCTGATGGCGGTTTTAGATGCCACACCTCGCTGGGAGAGAGAGCTCAGAACTGCAAGTTTACAAGTCCAACAACTGCTTGTAGAATGAATGGACAGTTGATCACTCAGAACAACAAGTTTACAAGTTTCTTCTGCTCAGCTGAAGATGTCCTCTATCCTTCAAGACCCTCTTCCAAATTTGAATGGTACCTGACAGATGGTACTGAATATCCTTGTTTTCACAGTAGGATATCAAAGAGCCTGGACATGAAGATGGCACAGTCAGAGCAATCCACCTTGTCCAGCGGGGGTTGACCTGCTGGACTGTGGAGTCAGAGCTGTGCTTCCCTTTGCTTTTAGCCACTGGGCTCTTTCTGATGAGGTGGCTTAACCGCAGCCAGCAGGGGATCGCATACCTCAGCAAGTAGGAGTCCACCCCCGCTTGAAACCTAGCACAGAGCACCCTCAGGAGCAAGAGTGGATCTTGGTACACATGTGCTCCTGACAAAAAGTGCTCCCTGCTAGATGCCATTCAGGGACATGAGTCTGAATGTCCCTGTCCCTGCCTGGCCCAGGAGAATGGTGTCTGGGTCACCAAGCCACCACTGGCACCTGGGCCCTGTCACAGCTGACAGGCTGAGGGGAGGTCAGCTGCTGGCTGCTGCTCCCAGGGCAGGTCCCTCGGGATCAACAGAGGCAAGAGCAGGGAAAGCAGCTCACCTCGCCTGCTCTCCAGGCTGCTCTGGAGAGAAATAGAGGGCTTCCATCTCCATTACTGTCAGAGGCTGGCATCTCTCGCCAGCTCCGAAATTCACAGCAGTGGATGGAGGAGGGAGGAGAGAGGAGCGAGGTGGTGCAAGTCAGACAATCAAAACAGCAACAATATTTTGGAGTGGAAACTTCCAGCTAGAGAGCATTCTTAAAAACAGAGCGGCAGGGCTGGAAAAGGCCTCAGCTAAGCCAGCGCCCTTGTTTCATAAAGGTGACATCCCTGAGATGACAAAGCTGTTAAGTGGCAGAATTGGGACAAGAATCGGGTCTTTGGAGCTTTGGCCACTCAAAAGAGGGTTTAGGAGGCCTTACTTTAAAACCAGAGACTGTTTTGGGGGAGCCCAGTGGAGACAGAGGGTGCTGAGCCTGAGCCTGTGGGGGGAGGCCCAGGACTCTGTGTCCGGGCCAGAGGGGCCTGTACCTTGCAGGTTGACTCCTCTGGGCACCAGGCCCTGCAGCTCCACAGTGGGGGGGTTGTTCTCTTCGGCATTGGAGTTGTTGGGGGGGACAGCTCTCCTGCCTCCGAAAGAGGTCCTGGGAGTCTCCGACATTCTCAGCTTCTCAAGCTCCTTGGAGGATAAAAGGGGCCCACGAAAAAGGAATGTGAAGCGACGAGGTACCTGTGACACAGGATTCAAAAAAGGAGAAGCAGACATAACTTGGTGTGATAGCCCTTGAGCAGCACATTTTGGGTTTCACATAAATAAAACCTGAGAAGTGCCAGTGATGGGTATTCTAACGACGAGTAAAGCTCCCCAAGGATCTTGGGGAGATTTGTCAAAACATATGGGAAGCAGAAGAAAGGGGGCCAATTTGAAGACCTAAAAAATGTAGCAGATTTTGTGAGCAAGGTTGTTTTTCTCGTTACCCCTGAAGCAATACTTTTGTGAGAGATGTTTATTGTCGCACAAGCCCATTTCGGATGGACTTACAGGCCTGAGCTCCTTTGAAGCATAAACTCAGGCAACCGTGTCCAGATACCGTCTTCCCATGTGTTCGTGTTCGCAACTTAATTTAACCCATGTCAATGAAGGGCCCACTATGTGCCAGCTGTGGTTGGTCACTTGAAATACATCAGAAAATAAGACAGAAGGATTCTTGCCTTGGAGAGCAGCAGGTAGGGTCCAGCCCACCACGATTCGGAAGTAAACTGAGTAAGGGGTGAGAAGATGGCACCTGCTTTGGGGCCAGGACCACAGGGACAGGATCGGGGAGCTGGAGAGTCTGGGCAGGAGACAGGGAGGCGCGCTGCAGCAGGGCTGCCAATAGTCCACTCTCTGAACTGGCTTGGTCGGAGGTGCTGCACTGCCCTGGCTCCAGGCCTGCCTCCCCTTCCTTGGAGTCTGCAGGCAAAGCGCCAGCGTGAGAGCCACACGCCTCACCTCAGTGCCCAAAGGTAGTTGTTGACCAAGTGACCAAATGAAGGGAGACCTTGTTCCTGGCCCGGATGAAGCATCCCCTTGATCACCTGGATTACACAATCATGCCCCCTGGTGATTTGCCTGTTTTCAAAAAAACAGGCACACCCTCCGAAGATGAAGAGCCCCTGTTATAGAGGCAACTAGAGGAGACTGTTCCAGAAACACGCTGAGCAGAGGCAACGTGGCTGGAAACAAGAGAATCTCTTCTTAAGGGGTTTGGTCTTGGGAGGAGACAGCGCTGTTTGGAAGTATAAGGTCTGAACAGGTGCCCGTATGGACCTACAGACATATTTCCAGAAGCTTCCAGTGAGCTAGGGAGGCAGGGAGGGAGGGGAGGGGAAGGGGTTAATGTTGGAGAGAGGCAGGAAGCAGCAGACCCCCCGGGAAATAGCGAGGATAGGCTGTGGGGTCGGGGGGAGGGGAGGGTTTGGGGGAGCACGGCACAGAACTAGGCACCTGTGCAGTAGCTGGCTGAGAGAGAGAGCCGTGAAGCAGAGACCCGGGGAGCCTGTGCAGATGGAGAGTAGCACCCCCTTCTTCCAGGTCTGGGGAAGGGAAGGTGCTCAAGTTCGGCTCCCGCCTGGTGATGCAGCAAAGCAGGTGTTCTTCCCTGGCCCTACTTCCTCCTCTCCCCAACTTTTGTGTCCCTTCTCCCGTGGCCTGCTCCCCTGAAGAAGACCCCAATCCTCCCACTCACATTTGGTGGCCTTCTTAGCAAGCGGTGCCCTCAAGAAAGATTCCTGGAGTGCCTGAGAGGAGCCCCGAGGGGCCAACAAAGGGGAAATTGGACCCCTAGCCCCTGGCACTCCCAGCAGCCACCTGAGGGGTTCAGTCTCAGGGGGGTGGGTACAGTGGGCCCCAGCGAGCCCCTGGGTGCAGGGGTGCAGCTAGGCTGGCAGGAGGGATGGCTGCTTACCTGTGGTCCCCTCCTGAGGTGTCCTAGCACAGGCTGGCTCTGGGCGTCTCTAGGGTACTTCCTCAAAAGGACGCAGGAAAAAACGACAAGAAAGTTGGCTCTTAAATAACTTCCTAACAGCTCCCTCCCTTCTCCCCCGTCCCACAGGGTTTCTCCTCCCCCTCTTGACAGCTGGAGCAAGTGAGCAGCTTCTGGACTTTCTGTTTACTTCTGCCATCCTGCTGTTATTCTGGCAGGCCCCCTCCTCCCACCCACAACCCCTCACTCCCAGTTTCCCAGCCCAGCTTCTCCCCACCTTCCGCACCTCCAGTTGTGTCTCCCCCTCTTCACTTGGTGGCTGGGAGGACCAGCTAATGACCCTGCAGTGCCAAGCAGACCCCGCCCCCTTCCCTTAGGTGGGGAGGTCTGGAGGGTCTGGATTTTGCCATCCAGGTAGGTGGGGCTTGGCAGAGGGGAGGGTCTGCACTCCTGCAGACAGGTCACAGACAGCTGTGATCAGGCATGAAGCAAGAGGAACGGGTCCTTCTTGCATAAATAAAGCTGAGGGACATGGCCTGTGTTCTTGAACCATCCACGGGAGCCACAGCCACCACCTAACCACAGACTTCCTGTAGGAGGGCATGCCCAGCCGGAGGGAACATGAGTAAATACTTTTAAGAGTGCCACAGAAATGAGAAAATAACACTTTCTTTGGAAAACCATTTTGGTTTATCTTCAGATAATTGGAAAAAAATTTCCCTATTTTTTTTCTGAGTCTTTGCATGTATAAATACTCCTATTTTTAGCCGTGGCTATTTCTAACCCTCTTTTTACTGCCTCGAAGTTTCTGACCCTGTTACTTAGTCTAATTTCATGGGGGG